ATAATTTATTCTGGAAAAAATAGTGATGTCACTGAGGAAGTTCCATCAATTGAACAATCTGGAAACATTACTTTGACACTTATGAAATCATACCTAGGAAAAGGGCATACACTTATCACTGACAATTGGTACACGAGTCCGCACTTATACAATCTATTACACGAAAAGGAAAAAACCAATGCCTTTGGAACTGTGCGACAAAATAGGAAAGATATGCCAAAAATGGAAGAAAAATTAAAAGGCGGAGAATGTGTAAGTCGATCGACACACAATCTATTAGCGTTAAAATGGCGGGATAAAAAAGATGTATGGATRCTATCCACCTCACATTCTGATGATTTCGTGGAAACGAAAAAAAATAATTATCAAACTGGCGAACCAAAGCGAAAACCAAAGTGTGTAGCAGACTACAATGCCTTGATGGGCGCAGTTGATAAAATCGATATGACTTTGAGTTCGCTTCACTGCGTTCGCAAAAGCACAAGGTGGTATAAAAAATATTTCTTCCATCTCTTAGACCTCGCCATATATAATGCGTATATTCTCCATAAAGATACTAATGAAAAAATTGTAACATTTGAAAAATTCCACCTGCGACTTATAAAAGATATTTTGAGAGAATACCCACCAGATAGAGTAGAGACTAAAGGAGGAAGAAGTCATTCGGACGACCTCYMATTCCGATTAACAGAGAGGCATTTCCTTAGTTCCTGCGTAACTAATGAAAATGGAAAACATTCTTCACGACGCAGATGCGTTGTTTGTACAAAAAATAATCGAAGAACTGACTCGCGTTACGAGTGCAAGAAATGTAACGTTGGCTTGTGCATTGAACCATGTTTTGAGAGTTATCACACAATACAAAATTATTAAATTTAAAAATTTAAAAGGTGCAATTTACTACTATTATATTGTTCGTGTTATGAAATAAATGATTATTAAGGGTTTGAGGTCACCACGTAATTTATTTTAATTATTTTTTCGTACGGAGTGGACAGTCCACGGCGCACGCTTAACGCCGACAACGTCTGCTCTTTCGTAAAAAGTACGCAGTCCACGGTRAGCTGTCTCGTACAGAGTGGGCAGTCCACGGTGAGATGCCTCGTGCGGAGTGGGCGGTCCACGGCGCACGCTTAACTTCTGGCAACTCAGCGCTCAAAGGGTTAAAAAAATAAAAAACAAATTCACACCTTTTTTTACAATTTTTAAAATATCACAAAAAGAAAGCAAGATAGAGCGATTTTACATATATTATGTTTTGTGGACAATACTATTTCCTTYAAAATAGTTTATTWATACAGATTTTTTATTTTCCTTACTTTTCGAGATATATTAAAAAATAAAAAACAAATCCAAACCTTTTTTTACATTTTTTAAAATATCTCAAAAAGAAAGCAAGATAGAGCGATTTTTGTCAATTATGTTTTGAGGACAATTTTATTGCCTGCAATAAAATATTTAGAAAGATAATGAAATATTAGAAAGATATATTTAGAAAGATAATGTATTTTCCTTTCTTTTCGAGATACATTAAAAAAATAAAGAATATATTCCCACCTTTTTTTACATCTTTTTAAATATTTCAAAAATTAAACAGGATAGAGCGATCTTACATATATTATGTTTTGTTGACAATTTTATATCCTACAAAAGGGTGTTTACAAACTTATTGTGTTTACCTTACTTTTCGAGATACATTAACAAAATTACAAAGAAATTTACACCTTTTTTTACATTTATTAAAATATCTCAAAAAGAAAGCCGGATAGAGCGATTTTTGTCAATTATGTTTTGTGGACAATTTTAT